AAAAAACCAATTGAGAGCAATGGCGTGACAGAGAAAGGAGATGGTGTGAAATCATTTTCTAATTTATGAGAGAGGGAGAGAAAAAGAAAGAGGTGGCGGAAAGTTACGAATGATAACCACACCCAATAAAATCGGCAGTTACCAATATTGAAAAGTGCCGTATCTATGCAAATATTTTAGGCATGTAATCCAAATCTGCTAATGAAAAAAAAACTAGTAGATATGCAAATATTTTTGAATGACTTCGTTCGTGGCATAATTTGCTCAACAAATATTGTTCTGTATAGTATCAAGCCACTTTAATATCACCAGATTATTAGATATTAAGCCCATTTAAATAGTATTAATATATATTTTATTATAAATATTTTTTAAATTATGTTTGAATTCAATTATTATGGTTTGTATATAGATTATTTATTTGTGATGCTTAACTAATATAAATTTGATATCAATTTTGTATTATTTGTATATAAATTATTTGTTTGTGATGCTTAATTAATATAAATTCAAATATGACTTTTTTCAGGTTGTTTGTGGCAGTCAATGGATCATAATTTATACCACAACAAACCCAAAATAATTTTGGCAACATGCCTTATTGGTATCATAGTGTTTTGCCCCAACACCTTTAGTGATATTATAAATGGTAAATCATACTTTAATTAATTTTATTGGGCACTTAATTTAATGTTTCAATTTATCATTTTGTCAGAATTAGTAGTGAAATTTATATATTTTTAAATATTTTCTTACAAGTAATTTTAACCAACCGATTCAAGATGGATTGATTTTTACTGGACATCATACCCAATAAACTTGCCAAATTAATTTTATCTTAACTTTCATATAATCATGTTTCTAACAAATTAATTAATATAATTATATTTATCTAATTGGATTTTTTAAAATATAATCATATAATATTTTAACTATCTCATTAATAAGCTTGCCAAATTTTTTGAATTAAAATGGTAAGCCCAATTTCAGATGTTATATTGTCTAATTTGTTATTTTAATTATATTGAACATGGGATTTATTATAATTTTAAATTGTTACTTTAATTAGATTGAATTTGATTTTATAATAATTAGATATATGATGGGAATAGGATTTTCTATTAATTGTTTGATTAAAAAATTAAATACGAAAGAAAAAAAAAACGATATAGGATAATATTTGGATTTTTCTTCTAATTGGCCAGTAATTTGACTAATGGTTGATCATTGAATAACTTGGCATGAAGTAACATTGAAATTGATATATGAGAGTGCTAAAAAAAATAGATGATTTTGATGTGTAAAAATAAAAATAAAAAATAGTTTTACTTTAAAGTCGGGATTCTTTCCATTATTTTTTGTATATTAACAATCATTGATTGGATAATTGGTTTTTTTTTTTTTTAAAAAAAAAAATCAAAACTGCAAGGTTTAATAATATTCCTTAAATAAAACTATTGTGTAATGAGAAGTGTTTAACCATATATATTTTTCGTTGTTTGTATTTATTTTATTTCTATAATGAGATAAGATGTGAAAAATATAAATAATTATATTTAAAATAAAATCTAAAAAAAAATTAAAATATGAGCTTCTCCGTGCATTGCACAGGATATGCACTAGTATAATTTAACATGGGCTAAAATATTATTTTACCTAAATCATAAACAAGTATTTCTTATTGGAGACATGATTACGATTTCAAGTCCTAAATGATATGTTGGAATGAAATTGACAAAATTAGGAATCTACTAATGTTCTTATTTGCTTTTTATATAATTTTATAGAAGAAAAAAATTGTTAATCTTGCTAGAGATTTATAAAAACTATTATCAGATATAAAACTAAAATCTTATTTATTACCCTATTTCTGACCTTTGTTAGATTACTTTGGTTTAGGAGTATGATGTAATTATTGGTTCTACACACGAATCGATGTGCTATATTAAGTGACATTTCTATGTATACTTTCAATATATTACTTTTTCATTATTTTTCATTATTCCAATTACAAAATGATCTTATAGCTTCAAAAGAAACAAATTTAACGTGGGTCGGCCGTGCTATGCGCGACGACAGCGTACTAGTATGTTAATAGAATTTAAAATTTGAAATTTAATTCTAGAGAATTAGTTAATAAATTTGAACGATAAGATAATCGAGAACAAATCTAAAAAATTGCGAGATTTATAAAATATTGATATATTTGAAATATATAAGGAGATTTGTTGTGTAGTCCAAATTTGAGTTTTTATATATATAGTCACATTATAGTCAAATCGAATATATGAATAAAATTTTTTAAATGACACTTATTTTGAAATGATTATAATATAATTTATTATCAGTTATGAGCACCGCACAAGTTGTGTACTAATTTTAAATAGACATTTTTATGTAATTTTATACAATTTAAATTTTATTTAATATTTTCGATAAATTAATGTAGATAAATTGTATCACATATTGATTCCATAGTTTTAATTTATAAATATTATTTAACTTAATGAAAATTTTTAATTTATAAATATCAATAAATATATCTTAACCGCGCAATATTGGTACTAGTTACATATAACAAATCCCCTCTATATATAATTTCAGAATGCGCTGAGCCTACGTGGCAAACTCTCATGCTTCGGAATCCTATTTGGCAAAAAATCATGCTTTGGATTTAGGCTTGGATATAAATTAATACTTGTATTAATTGTATTTTAATACCATTTTCTATTATAACCATTGAATTACAAATATATTTAAAAGTTGATAACTTTTGTATTTCTTATCGGTTTTACATATATAATATATCAAATTAATCATCTTTTAATGAACTTCGATTTGACATCTATATTGTATATATAAAATAAATAAATTATATTTATATTTATAATAATAATAAAACTATTTACTAAAAAAAGTTGATAACTTTTGTATTTCTTATCGATTTTACATGTATAATATATCAAATTAATCATCTTTTGATGAATTTCAATTTGACATCCATATTGTATATATAAAATAAATAAATTATATTTTATCTTTATAATGATAATAAAATTATTCATTAAAAAAAGTTGATAACTTTTGTATTTATTATCGGTTTTACATATATAATATATCAAATTAATCTTCTTTTAATGAGTTTCAATTTGATATCCATATTGTATATATAAAATAAATAAATTATATTTATCTTTATAATAATAATAAAATTATTTATTAAAATTAATTAGAAAATAAAATTATTTATCAATTAATAATATTTATGTTTAATGTGGTTATATGTTATAAGGTAGAAAATTTATTATAATATAACACATATAAGTCGCACAAGTAACATGTGTCATACTAAAATATATAATGATATATGCTTCCTCCTATTTTTATTATTTGTCATTTTGGCTTAATTGATCATTGATAAAATAAATGTCGTTCTAGATATTTTGTTCATATTTTTTTATTTTTAACCCTCTATCTAATACACAGTGTCTCTTCATATCTCATCCCATAACATCCATTAAATAGGGTTAATATTGTCAAGAAAAAAAATCATAATTAGTGTGTTGCATTTGAATTGATATTATGAAGTCCGTTTCTATACTATATATATATATATATATAGTAGAAAACAGTAATATATATTCTTATAAATAAAATTTGAATTTATTTATCAAACTAAATTAAATTATATCAAATAAAACTATAAATTATATTATAATGTAATAGAAATTGATATTTATTATTTCAAAAATAATATTTATTTCAAATCTAATTGGTATGTTGTCAATGTAATAAAAATAAATAATTATTTATATAAATTCTAAAATTACATATAAAGTTAAAAAAATGTGAAGCACGATTGATACGACACTTGATGTATTAGGCATCTAATTAAGTAAAAAAATTAATCTATTTTGCTTAATATTAAATAAACATAATCTAGACTTATGCATATACATATCACCATATTATTTCTATTTATGTAAGATATATATTTTTATACTTATGTAATAGTAAATAATATCGATATTTTTATATGATATAAGTAAAAAAATTCAACACGGGTGACATTTTCATTTAATGTACGGATGTTTAATTATTATGATTAAAAAAATATAATTTGTCAATTTAATTAAAATCAAAAGTAATGTTTTATATAAAATTAAATTATTTTAGTTTTTAAAAAAATAAAAAATTTAATATTTTTTACCAAAGCTTTCTAATTCAACACCCGTATAATACACGGGTATTGTACTAGTAATTTTTTTTTTTGTATTTATTTATGCACACATGCCGAATATTAGTAGGTTTTAAATGAGAAATAGTATTTTAGTTGTAATAATTGGATACTATAGTAATGAATATGTTATGCTTAAGTCGTCTGCCATCTCGCCCTCACCCAACCAACAATTGAATAAAAACTCAAAAAGAAAATATAAAAAGCTGAAAAGCACTTCACTCGTAGTCGCAGACTTCGAAAAGTTTAGGAAAAAACCATAAAGGCTAAAACCAAAATCATAAACGCCGTTGCCGGGGATCGAACCCGGGTCACCCGCGTGACAGGCGGGAATACTCACCACTATACTACAACGACTGGTTGACTCTCATCATGAAATAGTTAAAAAATAATTATAAACTCAATCGGATACATCACCATTTACAGCACATCTGATGAGTCATAACGGACTCACTCAAACTCCACAACTCTTAAAAATGGACGATTTCTGAAACAAAATCAGCCCATTTTCATCCTCCCTTTTTCTTCCCAATCTCCTCCTCCGCCGTCAACGGAGATTCCCAGCCCATCAAAATCTACCTCTAAAGTCTTGCAAAAATCTCCACAAAAATACACACACACATATATATAGCTACAGTATTTTTAAGTAAATAAACGAATATATAAATAAAAAAGTAGTCGACTTTCATGAATCGCAAAAGGACCGAAAGTCCGGTGTATGCCCGCCAGCGGAGCGGATCAAGCAGCAGCTCATCTCCGGCCGGTTCGCCGGCGCATCCTCGTTCCAGGCTGCCTCCGGCAGCCGCCGGCATGTCGACCATCAAGAGGACTCAGAACGTGGCGGCTAAAGCTGCGGCCCAGCGGCTGGCGCTGGTCATGGCGTCTAAGACCCCCAACGATGACGAAGAGGATGAGGACGATGATCTAGGGTTCCGGTTCGGGCCTCCTCCTTCTCTCTCTAGCAACAGCAATATTAATAGGAGCGACAGTGGTGGTCTCTCTGGGATCGCGTTCTCTAAGCCGAATAGATCGCCATCACCTGCGGTAATGCTTGATCTCTCGTTTTTCAGCTGATGAGTTGACTTGAAATTGTTTCTTGTGGACTACTCCGTGTTTAAAGAGTAATGTGCGAGAGAAAACTTCAGTTCTAATTTGTGTTATTTCATTTGAGACCGTTAAGCCTTTCTTCTGTATCAGCAGTAGAGTTCAGAACAATGTAGGATCCAATTTAGATTGGTGTAAATAGGTGTTAGCTTAAGACTGACTTGCTCCTCTTTTCCACTGATGTAAGAGAAAATTGTTTAACATGTCGAAATGAAAGAGTAGTTTTAGATCTGGATTGCCTGATTGCTATAAAACAAGCGGTTTTCCTTACATACATTTTGTTTTACTGGATCATTGAGTATAGTCATAACTGAAGCTGGCTAGAGTTTTGGGAGGACCCTGAACCTATATATATTGGCAAGATTCATCAAAAGTTACAAAAATGGTTCACTTGGGGCTTACATTGATTGGTTTTGCCAGCGCTCTTTTAATGGAGTAGACTTGGTTGAGAGACTATTTGTATTGGTAAGGCGAAATTTGAAGTTCTCACTTCTGACTGAGAAATTTTATGGGACGAAAAATGTTGTCAATTTTTGCATTTAGGTCAACACGTTAGTGTAAATAAGAGTTTGGTGATTAAATCAAGACTTTTCTCGCTCTGGCTTAAAATATAATGTAAATTGGATGGTCTTGTCTGCAGTTAGGACGCAACTTTATGGATGTCGCTCCTCCAGTTCGTTCCACATCAGCTGGAAGACCTTCAATGTCTGTCCGTACTGGAACAAATACAGTCGCACCACCAAGTAAATCCTCTTTGAAAACTCCAGTTACCATCCCACCAATAGAACCTCCTAGTAGCAGATTAAGAGAGAAGAGGTATGATGTAATTTTAAAGTGCTGCTTTATTTTCTCTTTTACTTTAAAATAATTTTGAACTTATTGTTGATGATAGCCAAAATCAGATGATTGTCAAATGCCATTATTCATTGCATTGTGTATCGTTTTAAAACCCTTTTTTAACTTCGTAGTCACTATTAGACCTGTCACATTCTTTAGATGACTTTTTGTGAAATTGCTACATGTTAACTAAAAGGAAATTGAGGATATGTACAAGAAGTTGAAGCATTATTGAATGTGTACTTGTTGTATACCCTTTTATTTCATATTTTAACCAAATGACGGGGAATAATTTTATTATTATCCAATTATGATTGATGAATAAATTAACTTTTATGTTTAAAAGTAGTAATTAGTTTTTTTATTTTTATTTCGTTTATATAGGCCACGTGGATGTCTAATCAAAGATTTTTAAAAGATGGTTAATTTGATAGATCATGTTTAAAAAAGAATAACAAACAAAAAAGTTAACTTTTGAAACATATTTATAATCTAAGTGGACACCAAAGCATCATCAGATGATACATAGGATTACGAAGCACAAAAGATGACACGTAGGCTCGGAAAACTCTGCATTTATATATAGGAGGGGATTAGTGGCTATGATGAACTATAATACGTGCAGAAATAGTTGATATTTACTGTTTACCTTTTCGTTGTGCCGTCCCATGGTTCGCATGATTTGGATTTATTTCTTGGATAAAATTACTTCTATTGTACGGTTTCCACAAACTTCTAATTATCATAATTTACTTCTAGATATGAATGTGCAATTCTATTATGTAGTTATTTTAAGTGCTGCTTACTCTAGTTAGAAGTTTAGTAGTTATACATTAAATGCATATTTTTACATTTTGTGATACTGAAGCAATCTACCTATCTTATATTTATAAAATTGTTGGTTACCTTTAGATGTATCCACATTATATGAACAATCTATCTGTTAGTTATGTCAAAGAATTCTACTCTTGGAACTGCACATGAATTTTTGGTTCCTGATGGCAAGGATGATGTTTGTAAGTGAGAGGGAGAACAGACAATCACCCAAATGAACTTCTAATGCTGAACATGAGCTTTTCCTATTCTTAAAAGCATCTTGAAATATTTTCTTCTCCATTGATTTGGGTAACTCAAAAACATCTGTATCTAGATATGATGTAATAAGATTGGAATTATGTTGGAGTTTGGTGTATACTGTTAGAAGTGTCTTGAATCTTTATTTATTTTATTTACTCTTATTTTATGTTTTTAGTGAAAATTGAAAAAAAGGAAAGAAGAACCATATTAGGATTGTAACTATGATATCACAGATTCACAAACCACAGGAGATTTTCCATAATTTTATTTAACTCAAGACTCATCAATTTTATTCCACTCAAGAGAGTTTTGTTTAACTCTTAAGAAAGAGGCCATTGTATTTAATTTATTTTCATTTTTGTACTTTTCTCCGGGTCACAATGTATGTAAAATTGGAATCTAAAGGAAACCTACCTGTATTTAGATCTGATATCAGATGAAGTTTTTCTATGATCCTTATTAATAAAGTTACGGATAATTCTACCCTTAAGACGGGAAGAGATTAGCCAGCATGGGGCTACTGCCTCCTATGCCAAGACAATCATTTATTCATCTAAGCTCTGTTATTCTTGGACCGATTATGATATGGCTATCTGATATTTTCTCTAGATAAAGTTTGTGCTAGTTGATTCCGTTGCATGTTTGAAGTATTTTTGGTTTGACAAGGGACAGATCATCAGTTTGCATGCAATCGTATAGCAGGTCTTTGAGTCGTTAGTTGGCGTCAAATATGCAGGTTTGTACCTGATGTTGGGCGTGACTTGAATGATTCCGCCAAACAGCATGAGGCTTCTGCACTTCGTGATGAAGTAGGCTTCCAACCATGCTTCTGCATTTCTAAGTTAATTTATTTGATACTGCAACTAGATCTTTCCACATTTTAAGCTTCTCAGCTCGGTTCTTTTGTTACATTTATAGTGTATTTGATAATCATAAGTTGTTAGAAGCTAGAGAATCCATGTGTACTCAGGATCATTTGACTTTCACCACATTTGCAGCTTGATATGCTACAAGAAGAGAATGAAGCAATTTTAGATAAGGTGAGTTTTATGCTTACTTCTGTGCAGACTTAAAGATAAACCAGATGTGAACAGGTAAAGCAAGAAAATTTGCTTTTGATTTCTCTTTTGTGGGAAGTAGAATTAATTTTTCCCACAGCTTCGTCGTGCAGAAGAAAAACGTGAAGAAGCAGAAGCCAGAGCCCGGGAGTTGGAGAAACAGGTTAGAGGCTTAGAGCTAAGACAATCAGTCCATCAGTTTGAATTTTGTTTCTTTCATTTTGACCATCAATTGGTCAGGAACATGTTGGTTGCTTTAGGAGCTGCATGACTTCTTAAATTGTCGATTGAATCATATACATTTTGTTAATGCTATTAATTCTTCTTTTTGTATACGTACTGCACAGACCTGACATATGAATAATATTACCTTTAGAAATTGAATTTCATAGTTTCGTTGCAAACTACCTTGTTCTACTATTGACCTTCACATAGGAACTTCTAACACCTTTTATTGAGAATCTGTGCTGGTCCATTTTCCATTAATACTGTTTGAATTAACATTTGTCAGGTTGCTTCGCTAGGGGAAGGTGTGTCATTGGAAGCTAAATTATTGAGTCGGTAAGTCTGCATCGCTAAATTGATTAGCATGCTAGACCATTCCACGTTGCATTAAGCAACTGATCACGGGTTCCAGTTTTTTCGGGCTTGTCCTGAGGGGTTCAACAATGGTTGACTACAGGTTTAAGCTGGCAGATTCACAATCTTTTCAAAAATTAAGTTATAACTTATGTCCTGATAAACGGCCAAGATTTTGTCTGCAAGAACCATGGTTAAATACAGCAGTTTACCGTATTTTGCTTATATTAAATTTAATAATTTGAAATTATCCTTAAGCTCTACATTTTTTCTTTCACCAATTCCGAATTCTTTCGTGTCCCGATTTTCAGTGACCTCCTTTGAAACTCTCAACTATCCCTGTTGACTCTTTCAGTTCTTAACTCTCCTAATTCTCTCAATCTTTATTCGTGGTGGCTGGTTTATAGTAAGTATGTAACATTGAGTATGATGTCAATTAATTTCAGGAAGGAAGCAGCTCTGCGACAAAGAGAGGTATCATTTCTTCAACCACGTGTAAAAATTTGTGTTATTAACCCATGTATTGNTTTTATTATTGTGTGCATTTGTATACGTCCTTGGGTTAAAGTCTATGCAGGTTGCTGAACTGAATCCCTCTGTTATGCATTATTTTTCACACCGCAGGCTGCTATTAAAGCTGCAGCACAGACAAAGGATGGACGAGATGAAGAACTTGCAGCTCTTCGCGCAGAACTTGAGGTTGTCATACGTTTCTTAATTGCACCTTGTTTTTGTCTAAATCATTATATATCTCTTAGTACTGATGAAGCTCGTTGAAAATATTTGGTCAGAACCAAAAAGATGAGACTACAAGTGCTATGGAACAGCTTAATGAGGCTGAAACTGAAGCAAAAGCTCTTCGAGCAATGACCCAGAGAATGATTTTGACGCATGAAGAGATGGTTATATTTTAAGAATTATGATAAACTCTCAACATTACGGGAACCCAATTTATGAAATTGTTTGTTGTTCTTATCTAGGAAGAAGTTGTTCTGAAGAGATGCTGGCTTGCTCGCTATTGGGGTTTAGCTGCGCGATATGGTAAAATCATCCTGAAAGAATATCTGATGCAAATATGTTATCCTACCTTGCTTGAGGCATGAAAAGATGTTAAGATATGCTTCACAGTTTCACATCATGTTTTAAGATTTAATGATATATAGCATTTGATTGCAACCAAGATACGTCTTTTTATAAATATAATTACGTTTCTATATTGATGTTTGGGGTTTAGCTGCGCGATATGGTAAAATCTTCCTGGAAGAATATCTGATGCAAATAGGTTATCCTGCCTTACTTGAGGCATGAAAAGATGTTAAGATATGCTTCACAGTTTTACCTCATGTTTAAGATTTAATGATGTATAGCATTTGATTGAAATCAAGATACGCGTTTTATAAATTTAATTACGTTTCTCTATTGATGTTTAATCTATAATACCATTGTTCTTGAGGTTTGTTCCATTACTTGTTGTCTCACAGGTATATGTGCAGATATAGCAGTTTCCAAGTATGAATACTGGTCATCTTTAGCTCCTCTTCCCTTTGAGGTGGTTATCTCTGCCGGTCAGAAGGCCAAAGAGAAATCTTGGCATGGTACCGATCTCTTAAATGGCAAAAGTGGTTATATTTGAAATATTCATCAACTTGTTCTTGACATCCATAACCTGACAAGCTTTTATTCTTTCTTGCTGTCAACGAGCAGGTGGAAATTACTCAGATCGGAGCAAACCTGCTCGGGATTTGAATGATTTATCTGGGGAAGGAAATATTGAGAGTATGCTTTCAGTGGAGATGGGTTTGAGGGAACTGGCTGCCTTGAAGGTTCTCAATATTAAATCTTTTGAATCGTATGAGTTTTGACTTCTGTTTTGTTGAGTTCTGCCGTTTCTCTAAATTGTAACCACACCGATATAGAATCCAATGTAAGCGTAGTAGGTATTGCCATATATTTTAAGAATACAAATCTGATATTGGTTCTGTTTGTCGGTCATGTATCATATATGAAGGTTGAGGATGCTGTTGTGTTCGTATTAGCCCAAAGTCGACGTTCAACTTTAGTTCGCCAATCCTTCTCAGGTATGGTCCACAAAGTCAATATCAATCTACGGTTAGTGAGCAGTGAGCACTAACTTACTGTTGAAGATCAGTTAGTTGACATCTGAAGAACACAAGTCAATATTTGTTCCAAAGGCATTATTGTCTCTTATTTTCCTGTCTAGACACGCATTCATATTCATTTCAACTCATTCTTCTGTCTTGTAATGCATGGTATACTTAGTCTGCATGTAGCCTGTGTAGCAGATTTTGAGACTTCATCTTTCTTTGGTGACACACACACCTCACTCACCCAACACATACTCACACACACACACACACACACATAAATACATATATATATATATATATATATATCCTTTTTTTTTTTGTTTAAAAACAATAATTAGCTTAACAACTAATAAAACTCTGTCGTCTGTTACTGCAGATCCGAAATCATCTGGTGAACCAAAGTACACGGATGCAGTTGGTGAGGAAATTGCTCATTTTGTCCAGTTCTTAAAGAGAGAAAGAAATCTGATATTAATATATTGACATTGCTGTTCTGGATAAATAATGAGGGGGCGATTGGATATAAATTGAATAGTAAAAAATCCAATCAAAACTCAAATTTAACTCAATTTTAACTCAATCTCACTATCTTCAATATTACCAATATAATTAAATAATATCAACCAATCATTCTTACACATCAAATCAACTTTAATTCACTATTCATCCACTCACATAATTTTAAGTAACCATCACTTCCAATCATTTTTTTTCTACTTTACATCAAATCAACTTTAATTATTTTATTTAAATATTATTTTAATATATCCACTAACAACTAACCATACCTCTTTTTTCCAAAATTAACTATAATTAAAAACAAACCAAATAAAAACTAGTTGAATCCATAAACAATCACACCCTGAGTAATTGTTCGCTCTCAAAATTTTGAAATTAGTATGCTAGTTTGTTTAACTTTACATTGAACTTTGGGTTTTGTTGCATGAATGGTGAGTGCCTAGACAAGTAAAATATCATTCAGTATCATTCAGTGACTGCCATCTAATCTTTCTGCTGCTTTGTAGTTACTACTGAATCATGTGGTGAACTAAAATTTGCATCTATGCACATATAAGTATTTTGCTCTTTTACATCAATTCTGGACAAGTGTTTTAGGCTATATGGTAAAGATTTACTATCAACGCTAGTTTTAAAACATTATATAGAAGGTTCAATATTTTATATTTGGTTGCAGAATTGAGTCAAGAGGAGTCTGAAGATGTTCTTTTTAAGGAGGTCAGTTTCTAGTTGTTCAATCTCGTCTTTCGCTTTCCTCTTTCATTTTTTTTTTCTTGTCTTCTCTTTTTCAGGTGTGTTTGTTTACAAATATTCTTAAGAGAGACATTTCGATACACTATTTGTTTTGTTTACATAGGTACAAAATGTATTTGCTACCTTACCTGTACCGTACCAATAATTTGAAGCCGGAATATACATTAGAATTGGATTGTTTTTTTTTACCATCTATCAGTAAGAAGAAAATGTGACATTGTAACGTCTTGTTTTCTTAGTGCATTTATGCTTATGGAAGGAAGCTTTGTTGCCACCAGTCACCATCAGAGTTGACAATGATGAAATGACCCTCTGTTTGGCCCCTGTGTTACCTATAGCAATACTTGAATAAACAGTGATTTCTGTGGGTATGAAAGATTTGGGAAGAAGCTTAATTTGTTAGGGCTTATCAATAAACAATTTGTTTGCCCTTAACTAAGTTCAATTATACCTTTCCGAATTGAAGTCAAGGGTCTAAAGTTACATGGAACTTGTACAAAGGACGTAAAAAATAACATCATTTTGGGGTATGGCAGGACATTAACCTTCATAGAAACACCTAAGTCATATACTCTTCCTATCTTATTTTGGATCAGTCACTAGTAGATGGAGTCAGTTATGAATTGCCATTGAGATGATCAGTTAAGGTTTTACCTTTCTGGGTTCTTAAATAAATTATTCTCTAGAATCTCTTGTGTCTTGATAATTACTGATTAATAGTATTTTGTATTATTGGGAAATCGGCAGAAATTGGTTGGAAAAAATATGTTTAATGTTCTTTTTTCCTTCGTTACTTTCCCTAGCATAGATGTAAAAATAATTTTTGCGGCCAACTTAAGCTTGTTTGCTGTCCTTTAAACTTTAACGTAACCTTGTGATGTGAACTTGACGAAGATTTATATGACAGATGTTCCATTTTATAGTTTTGCTGCAGGTTACTTTCTTGAACTTGCAATGTAATGCTGTTAAACGGGGTGTGTTTGTCTCTAAAGTTTGTTATACTATATAGGCTTGGCTTACTTATTTTTGGAGAAGAGCAGTAGCGCATGGTGTTGAGGAGGATATTGCAGAAGAGCGACTTCAGTTATGGATAAGCCGCAGTGGACAAACCCCAACCTCACATGATGCTGTTGATGGTAATAATAATTATCTTTATATATTGGTTTATTCTTCATAGATTTATAACAGTAGATGCTTACTTGTTGGATCTCTATAACAGTAGATCGATTTGGAAAGTTGCTTTTGCCATTTTTGTTATACAACAAAATTGTTTTGATATTCCTATCCTCTTAAACTTAAATTGTCAGTTGTCTTCCTAAATACATGTTTTTTGGGGACTATAAACACCCATAACTTTCATGTATGCATTTCTATCCAATATTTAGGCTTCGATTGGACTGATGAAATCATGAAATAAAGGTCAATAATTACTATACAGCAGAGCCCTGGGGTAGGGCTGGCCCAGAGACCGCTCAGGTTCCCACTTATTCAGGCCCACTATTATTAATTATTAATATATTATATATATTATATTAATTATATAAAAATTAGTTTTAATAGCTATTTTTTTCTCTTCATTCTTTACTAAAGGTATTTAATTTTTTTTTTCTTCATTTGAAAAATTTCATGAAAAAATTAATTAGTAATTATTAGCAGTAAAATTAATATGTTCTTACATATTTTCTCTTTATTCTTCTCATTGGTTTTTAAATTTTCTCTTCTTGCTTATCGAAAATGCTATTTCATGAGGCACAATTAAATAATGTTACCTACTAATTGTCATTAAAAGAGTCATTTGAAATCAACTCATTATCTTTACTTTCCCCATAAAATATTATTTAATTTAATTTGAATATTATATACTGCAATGAATTTAAGATATATATTTAAGTAAAGGAAAATCTTAGAGTTTAACGTTTATTTTTTGTGTTTAAGAAAGAAAATATTTCCTCCCTCATTTCTATTTGTTATTTTTAAGATATAAAATTTATTTATAATTATATTTTAAATTTCACAGTTTTTATTATAGCTAGTATACTTTTTTTTTCTGGAACTTATTTTTTTTAAAAAAAAAACAGGGAACATTTAACACATTTCGCCGAAAGGTCTTATAAACTTCAGCATCCGCTCTGCTACATAATACACACTTTTCTACAAAACTCATTGTTTACCCCTCATATAATTCGATCTACCAATCATTTTCATATTTATTTTTCTACTTCTACACTTTAGCTTTAACCATTATCCTTTTCAGCACTATCCGCTAGTGTTTGTAAAATTTTTTTTTAAAATGAAAGTATATCCCTTCACTCATTAAAATTTGAATAGCAATTGTTATTTGCTATCAGCTTTGAGGTTCTATTAGTGACTCTTGATTTTGGTTAAACAAGCAAAAGACATGTTTGCAAAGGTGGCTCTCTTATCCCCCTATAATTGCTACATCAGATGAATACTTATATAGTGTCTGTATATAGCATACCACTTCTTGTCCACTTCTGCTTGATTCATTTTCAACTTTAATATAAAGCAACTTCATGTCGAAAGCATTTACCGCTTGTCAGCTTCTAAAATGCTCTGCTGGACGTTATTTTTTCTTTGAATAATTGAATATCATTAAAACGGGATATAAAATTAAGACCATGGAATTCAATGGTATAATATTATTGAAGAGACAACTGAGAATGTTGTTGTTGTTGTTGTTTTTTTTTTTCTTTTTTTCTTCCTCCCATTTTTACATGAAAAAGTGTTCCTCATACTTTTTTGAAAACGGCCCTACCAGGTCTACTTGGCAAAAGTGGCCGGGATTTTCGCTCCTGAGATGGCTTTGACCAAGTCGACTCGGGCAAAACTAACTTCCTATTTTTGCCTTCCGTTCTTCAATATTTTAGTTTTATGAAAGGAAGAAAAAAAAAAACTTGTGAACGTCAGTGTACTAAACATTTATGAAGAGGAATAGTATTACTAAGACTTTAAATTATAAAAATTGCATATAAATTGTTTATTTCTCACAATTTTGAGAAAAATTCTACTATATATCTAAATTCTTATATTTTTAAATTAATAATTTGGCTTCGGAATTGATCCCCTGACATGCGGCTGCCCCGGGTTAGTTGCAGAGTTCTGAAAGGCATTTGTCATGGAAGTGAATCATTCTTAATACTATGGAACAGAACTCCTGTTGATTATTTTTATTTTTATTTTCTTAATTTTTATTATTATTATTATTATTTTCTCTCAACAGAGACATGCATGGATGTTGAGTTTTCTTAGTACCATTTTCTTTTATTTAGGACTAGTTGCATTTGACCTTTACAGTTAGTAATGAGCGCCATGTTTTTCTCTACATACTTGCTTAAGATTTGATCATGAGTTTGTGCAACGCATGCTATTGGTGTATTAATGGGTCTTATTTTTTCTGAGTGCAACAGTTGAAAGAGGTTTAACAGAGCTGAGGAAAATGGGAATCGAGCAGCAGCTGTGGGAGGCCTCAAGGAAGGAGATCGGCCAACCTCCTTTTGCTAATGGCAAACACAGTCCAGAATCAGAATCCTAGTTGTCGATTCTTGAAATCATTTGCTGCCAATTTTCTGTCCTTTAATTCAACTTGTGTATTTACAGGATATTCCGAATCTGAACTCCCAATATAAGTTTTGGTGTTCTTTTACCCTGGCCTTCGTTTTACCGAACCAGAGATTGCGTGTGTTGAGAGCATGTAAAGCCATTTGTATTTGAACTTTAGATGATAAACTGATAATATATCCGTTTTTTTTTTATTATTATTCTTATTATTTTCCAGCTCTTCAAGTTGCTTGACCACAAAAGAACTGATAATATTCCTTTAGAAGTAGCACTCACAAAAGATGAGTTTTTTCATTTTTGAAGTTATATCCACTTTCTTCAGAAAAATCCAAGAACTGAAACTCAAAAACAGGTTTACTTTATCAATGTGATATAAGAAGCTTAGGTACCTTAATAGAGTTGTTGAGAAACATTTCTTTGGATAAAATAGACGGAGAAAAAAATTCAGTTACTTGCCATGAGAAAAGTAAAACCTGGTATATCTATTTGTGGACATATACGCAGTACGTTATGCCTGTTGTGGCTCAATTACGTGCTTCTATTATTTTTCCAAATTGGAGCAACAGTAAAGCAAAATGAATGGGTAAAATTCAAGGAGGAAGTAATCAGGATGATGGAGAAGAATAAAACTTAGGAGTTGGTCGGCCTAACAAACAACAAAGAAGTCATTGGAGTTAAGTGGGTCTACAAGACGAAGCTTAACCTAGATGGCTCAATTCAAAAGCATAAAACACGATTGGTTGCTAAAGTGTACTCACAACTGCATGGGATCAACTACGACAAGGCTTTCGCTCCAGTTGCCAGGCTAGATACTATAAGGGATCTAATCGCACTTGCAGCCCAGAAGAAATGGAAAATCTACCAACTCGATGTCAAGTCTGCGTTCCTTAATGGTTTATCTTGAAGAATCCATGTCGAACAACTTCAAGGGTTCGTGGCAGAAGGACAAGAAAAGAAAGTTCTAAAACCAAATAAAGGGCTTTACGGATTGAAACAATCCCCACGAGCCTGGTACAGTCGAATTGATGACTACTTCATCAGTAATGGATTCAAAATAAAGAGATGATTAAGGAGTTCAAGAAAGACATGATGAAGTCCTTTGTGATGAACGACCTTGGGAAAATGCGTTATTTTCTTGATTGAGTTAACCCAAGAAGAAGGGATATTTATCTCACAGAAGAAATATAGAAATAATCTACTAAAAAGTTCAAGATAGACGGTTGTAAGTCCGTGGCTACTCCCTTCATCATGAACGAGAAATTCACCAAAGAAGACAGCACGCCGAATGCAGATGCATCCACATACCGAAGTCTGATTGGAAGTCCAGTAGATACACGACCCGATATCATGTATGCGACAAGTTTACTATCGTGATTCATGAAAAATCCAAGCCAATTTCACTACAGAGCCTAAAAAAGAATATTATGATATTTGCAGGGCACTGAAACTATGAATCCAATACGAATTTAACGAAGACTTAAGATTGAAAGGCTACACAGGCAGTGGCTAGGTTGAATCAACCAATGCAACCCGCTGGTCAAAACAGCTAATGCAATCTGCTAATAGTTAGTCAAAACAGTTGATGCAATCCGATAGTCAAAATAACTAATACAATCCGCTAACAAGTAACATCTAATCATCATGCCCAGATAAGACCATAATATCATGATATCAACACCCAAAAAAAAAGAGAAAAAAACATACACTGATATTATAGATTATAATTATTATTATGGTCATCCCTTGTTTCAATTGAGTCTTACTTCAAGTACGACAACTTGAAAACCAGATCGATACACTGCCGGCAAGATTTCACATTTACGAAATGCAATGGAGGAGCTACAAGCATCTATCTGCACGCGACTTAAAAAATATAGAGCAACTCCACAAGGACAAATAGAAAACATGATTTTTCAAATAAAACATGCATAAATGAAGCCAACAAACGCTTTAACCAAACAAACAAAGAGAAACAAGAATGATTATCAAATCATTTCACGATACAGTCAACAGAGGTCCATCCATCCATCTAAAGTGTACACACATTTCTTGCTGGCAGACATTAATTACTACAAGTCTATAATATAACCACATCATACAAAAGCTCCAGAAGAATTACACAGAAAACCAACCATGGAGCTTCTCTTACCATATTTCACCCCTTCACCAGCCCATACGGCATACTTAAAAAACCTAGGCAGCCACTGGCTCGGGCGACTGCTCGGTCGACGGCTGCTCGGGTGACTCCTCGGGTGACTGCTCAGGCGGCGAGTCGACTAAGGTCCCACTCGCACCATTCAGCACAACCACTTCCCCTTCGTCATCAACATCCACAATAACCGAATCCCCTTCCTTAATTTCCCCCGAAAGCATCTTCTCAGCCATGCTATCTTCCAGCAGCCTCATGATTGCCCTCCTCAGCGGCCTCGCCCCATAGCTCCGACTAAACCCTTGCTCCACCACCAGATCCGTAAAATCCTCCGTCGCCTTCAGCTCAATCTCCTTCTTCCTCAACCTCTCGAAAACTTCGTTCAGCATAATCCCCGCAATCTCCTTCACCTCCTCCTTCGTCAGCTGCCTGAACACAATCATCTCGTCCAGCCTGTTCAAAAACTCCGGCCGGAAGTAGTCCTTCAGCTCCCCGATCACTGCACGCTTGATGCTCCTGTAACTCCGCTCCTCCTTATCCTCCTCGTCCTCCTCCTGCTCGACTTCGAGTTGGAAACCGAACCTCCTCCGCTTGGGCTTCTTCGTCTTGAGGATCACGCTACTCCCGATGTTCGATGTCATGATCAGAAGCGTGTTCTTGAAGTCAACCGTCCGCCCCTTGCTGTCGGTCAAACGCCCGTCCTCCAAAATTTGAAGCATTAGATTGAAAACGTCCGGGTGGGCCTTCTCGATCTCGTCGAAGAGGACGACGGTGTAGGGTTTGCGGCGGACGGCCTCAGTGAGCTGGCCGCCCTCCGTGTAGCCGACGTAGCCCGGCGGCGAGCCGATGAGCTTGGAGACGGTGTGACGCTCCATGTACTCGGACATATCGAGGCGGACCATTGCGTCCTCGGAGCCGAAGTAGTAGGCGGCAAGGGTCTTGGCGAGCTCGGATTTGCCGACGCCAGTGGGGCCGGAGAAGATGAAGGAGGCGATGGGACGGTTGGGGTTCTTGAGGCCGACGCGGGCGCGGCGGATGGCGCGGGAGATGGCCTCGACGGCCTCGTCTTGGCCAATGATGCGGCGGTGGAGGGTCGACTCCATTTTGAGGAGGCGGTCGGACTCGTCGGACGAGACTTTTTCGACGGGGATTCCGGTCCACGAGGAGACGATGTGTTGGATGTCGGCTTCGGTGACGGTGGGGCCGCCGTCGCCGGATTCGGCCTCGGCTTTGGTTAGCTCCTTGTTTTTGTCGATCAGGGCGGAGATTTGGGTCTTCAAGTCCATCTCACGGTCACGCAGCTCGCCCGCCTGTGGGGAAAAAAAACAAGGGTTCAATTTTTTTTTCTTTTTAGAGAAATATTACTTCGAGAAAGTTGTGATGCGTAATCCCTCCCTATATATTATTAATTCAAAACACGTTGAGCCTAAGTGGCAGATTCTCACGCTTCGAATGCTGACATGGCGAAAATCTATGCTTCGTAATGTTGTTTATATATTCATTTTTGCTTTGGAGTTAGGCTTGGTATTAGACATAAATAACTTTTTTCAAACTTGGTAAGTGTATATTTAATTTTGTTATTTTTTTTTCTCTTAGTACACATTTCCTTCTTTGTTTTTGGGCAAGTAGCAATCTTACCATATTATAATTTTCTTTCATATTTCTCTCCTAAATTACGATTGACAAATCGCACTATCTATTCCTCTTTTTTTTTTT